CCCATACCCAAGAAAATTTCCAAATCAGTAGGAATCTTTTCCAAGATATGATACTATGTACCACAAACGACTCTCCTTACCCTGTACCACTCTCTAATATATCCTTACCTCACCTATGGTATTTGTGCCTGGGGCTCAACCACTGCCAACCACCTTAGATCCTTAACCCTTTCAGGGTTTCGGCTGTACTAGTACGGCTTACGCACCAGGGTCCATGACGTACTAGTACTCATAAATTCTAGTGCCTTCAAAACTAGTGAAAGCTGGTAGGCCTACATATGAAAGAATGGGTCTATGTGGTCAGTGTGCGCAGTAAAAAAAAGTCCTGCAGCACACAGTGCGTAATGAGAAAAAAAAACTTCGACCGTGTTTTTGGATTAAAACAGCGACTTTGCACTGTATTTTCGTATGGTATTTATTGCTGTATTCTGGTTTTCCTGGTCTCATTGTATAGAATGGAAGATATACTACAGAAATTGAGATGATTTTGACTGGTTTTACAATGAAAAGTACCTTGAAATTGAGCTCAAAGTAGCAGAAATGTTTGATTTTTACCAAAGTTCAAAAGTAAACAAATCATGCAAAGCGTCCAATACACGTCAACTGGCGAGTCTAATATTCTTTCACAAGTGCCGATATTATTTATACCATTTCTACACTAATGCAGTAGTCTGCATAACAGTAAATCTTCTATTTTTGTGAGAATAAAAATTCAAAATGGAAAGCAAAAGAATGTAAGAGGGGCATGGGGACGTGACTAATGAACAGAGGAAATGTTATTTTAGTCCCAGAAATGTCTTTCTTGTTTATTCTGGACCCTATTTGGAAATTGGCATCTTTTGAAATGTGTGGGAAATTGGCAAAATTGCTAAATTCTGACCACTGTATTGGATAGTTGAAATCGGTAAATTGGTAGCTTCTTGTACTCATTCGATAGAAAAAATGGAGTTCTAGCGAAATAGTTATGATTTTTGTCGACTAGTACATTGGAATTGGCCGAAAATAGGGCTCAAAGTGGGCAAAATCTCCAATGCGTAAACATCGTCGAGACCGTTAACTTTGCGAGAGCATAATTCCGTAAGTTTTCCATCAAATTTCATACTTTTGGTGTCATTATGATCTGGAAAAGATTCTCTATCTTTTCATAAGAATTTTTTTTTTTTTTTTTTTTTAAATTTTGGCGACCCTGAGAACTAGTCTCTGAGAGAGCCTGTGGACCCTGAAAGGGTTAATAATCCAACAAAAAGCTGCTGTGCGGGTGATAACCAGCTCCTGTGCTAGACACCCCACCCCACCACTTTTCAAAAGACTCGACATGCTAAATATACAAGACATACACTCTTATTATTGTGCCTACTACATATACAGAACTTTAAACTCCACTGTAAACCCTCTCTTAAAACTACTCCTTGACAGTTACAACAGAATGCACAGTCACAATACAAGGCATAAGGCACTCTTCAACATCCCTACGAGTCAGTCTCTCACTATGCAAGAACGCTGTGCACATGAAAGGCCCAAAGATCTGGAACTTGCTAGCAGAACAAGTCAAGGATCCCCAGACAGCTTATAAAATTAGGACTTTGCTAAAAAATCATCTTACCTCACAATATTAACCAAATCAACCAAACATCTGCTAACTTGTTTTATCATGTGACCTTAGGCTCTTAATTCTGCCAATCCATAAAATCATTTTGTTTCTCAATATTAACCAAATCTGCCAAAACATCTGCTAATTAGTCTTATCATGTGACCTCCTGGCTTTTAATTCTGCCATTCCACAAAATATTACCACCTGCACCATTACTTGTAAGTTAGATTTTGTACTAAGCTTAAATAAGATTATATTAAGTTCAAATAAGACTGTAAAACAGCTAACAACTATTCTTTGTTTAGTTTTAAGTATAATTACTATGTACTATTATCTTATTTAGGATTAGTTTGCCCGAAATGCCTCAGCATAATAGTGGCTATCTTTATACTTAGCAAATCAAAATTGTAATTACACATTGTAACCTTTACAAAGAAAAAAACTTTATTTATTGATTTATTATAAAAAATCAGACACATCTGGGGTTCTTTATTGTTAGGTTTTTGGGCTCTTTTTATAGCTACTGTTCCCTACTGTAGTTTTATTTCCTGACTTAGTATATGCTGAGCCTTCGGAACTGAGTCCAGAGGTGAGAAGTACAGTGCCTGCACTCTAAAGGAGGGGTTTGGGATATTTGGTACTTAGAGGGACATCTAAACTGTCGTATCTGCATGCCTCTAGCAAGACAGTAAGTGTGAATGATGGTGAAAGGTGTTTCTTTTTTGGGTCACCCTACCTTGGTAGAAGACAGCCAGCAGGTAAAAAAAAAAAAAAAATCAACAATGTAAGTTGCTCTGGTTTGTTCAATGTGTGCATTACCTTGTACACAGGAGTACAACAATAATGATAAGATAAATGTTAAAGGTAAGGTTGAGATCATGGTGCTAAATTTTATGACAACAATAACAGTGACAGAAGTGTCATAAGAAGAGCAGAGTATATGGAGAGTAAAAGAAAGGTGAAGAGAGTGGTGAGAGAGCATAAAAGGAGAGCAGATGATAGAGTGGGAGAGGCAATGTCAAGAAATTTTAATGAAAACAAGAAAAAATTTTGGAGTGAGATAAGTTAAGAAAGCCTAGGGAACGAATGAATTTGTCAGTTAAAAACAGAGTAGGGGAGTTAGTAGATGGGGAGCTGGATGTATTGGGTAGATGGCGGGAATATTTTGAGGAACTTTTAAATGTCAATGAAGGGAGGCAGTCATTTCATGCACTGGCCAGGGAGGTATAACATCTTTTAGGAGTGAACAAGAGCAGGATGCAAGTGTGGGGGACATGTGTGAGGCATTACATAGAATGAAAGGGGGTAAAGCAGCAGGAACTGACAGGATCATGACAGAAATGTTAAAAGCAGGAGGGGATATAGTGTTGGGTGGTTGGTATTTTTGTTTAATAAATGTATGGTTTTCGAGACCTGACGAGTTGTTGGAGTGTGAGTAGGGTAATACGTATTTAGTGAAGGGATTCAGGGAAACCAGTTATTTTTATACAGCCGGACTTGAGTTCTGGAAATGGGAAGTACAATGCCTGCACTTTAAATGAGGGGTTTGGGATATTGGCAGTTTGGAGGGATGTGTAATAGGATGGTATATATATAATTAGGGCCCTGATATATTCTATAGGGAGTTTATTATATTATTTCAGGTCACTTTTTATATTGTATCTTTATATATGCTTCTAAACTGTTGTATCTGGGCACCTCAGGAAAAACAGAGATTATGTATGAGTGAGGAGAAAGTGATGAAAGATGATGATGAAAGTATTTTCGTTTTGGGGATTTTCTTTCTGTTTGGGTAACCCTGCCTAGGTGGGAGACGGCAGACTTGTTGAAAAAAAAAATAACAGTGACAATATTAGTAATAAATAATAATAGTAAACATAATAACTGCATTACTTTTTTTTTACACAAGAGTTTTACAAGGTTAGGTTAAGGGTTCCTAACTTTACGTATTTACGAGCTAAGAGCTGTTACCTACATCGGCTCATTTTAAAGCCTTTTTATTAATGTGAGACATACAATTAGGGAACAGGATGAAGTTGGAGCCATCTGTGGGCCAGCAATTTCATCTAGTCAACTGACTATTTTGTTGATGTCATTATGCTGTATGACCACGTTCCAGACTAGACTCATCCTAAGAATAAATGATCTAAGATGAAGTGTGTTCTTGAGAAGGGTACAGCCAGAGTGAAGTGGCTGTTTGATGCCCATCTTGTTGTGTAGAAGCTTACTTCTTACTGTCTGTGGAGTGAAGCCAAGTATGGTACCTTGACAATACTGGCCTTGTACATAACAGTAAGGCCATACACACCCCTCCAGTGCTGAAGGCTCTTTTGAAATAACAGATCTGTCCAGGAGAGAGATGAGTCATCTTGCTCCATTCTCTATTCTTTCAAGAAGTCGCAGATGAGACAAAGGGCAGGCAATCCAAGAAGGTGGAGCATACTCAAGGTGTGAGCATACTTGTGCCTCATACACTGAGGCATTCCTATATGTGTTGATAGGATGAATTGATGAAGTTGTGTTGTTGATAGAAACATGTTGATGTCCATCGTTAGTGTAGGATTTTAAGCAAGGGTATGACCTCTGATACCAAAATGTTTTAATTTAAGAAGCAAAATGTCATGGTCCATTGTATCAAAAGCTTCCCTTAGGTCAATGAAAATACCCATAAGATATTTGATATTTTCAAGAGATGATAAACTAAGTCAAGCATTTTGATTACTGCACCATTCATACTTTTACCTGGCCTGAAACCAAACTTGCAGAGAAGTTAAGTATATTGTGAAAGGCTAATTATACAATGTTAATCATAACATGTTTTATACTATTTGCAAGCAAACAGAAACAGTACAGAAAAAACTGGATAAAAAGTCTTTTAAAAAATGAACTAAAATTAAGTATTATGGTTCTTAATGAATTTCTAACTATAACACAGAATTTTATGGGACAATAGGCTCTGAGAACAAAAAATAAAAAACTGACTTCAGACGATTTTCATAAGTTGAGGGTTCCACTGTACTTTACTGACAAATTTTCCTTTCTCCTCTATATTACCAAAGTGTATCTAAGGATATATAGTACCATGATTATTCTTTATCATACTATACTATATTTTTTTTTTTCAATAAGTTGGCCGTCTCCCACCTAGGCAGGGTGACTCAAAAAGAAAGAAAATCCCCAAAATGCAAACACTTTCACCACACTCATACACAATCACTGTTTTTGCAGAGGCACCTAGATACAACAGTTTAGAAGCATATATAAAGATACAATATAAAAAGTGACCTGAAATAATGTAATAAACTCCATACAGAATATAATATCAGGGCCCCAAATATATATATATACTATATGCATGAAATTTTTTTCTCTACACTTGCTTAAATGTAAGTAAGAAACAATGACTTACCCAGTCCTCAAGTGTATCCAGTACTTGTTGCACACACTCATCAACAGAACAATGATGAGTCTTTAAAACTACATTGGGAGCTTCAGGCTTCTCGTACAGCGAGTCGATGCCAGTAAAACCTGTTTAAAAAAAATCAACTGCTATTGCTCATTACATATATATTTTTACCCTGGAACTACTTCAAAGAAATATTCTCTAAAATGTATACAACATATGATTTGACACTCTCTGCTAATCATTAAAACTAAAAAAAATCATATCACATGTTTATGTTCAGATGTTGTTCTATATGATATCTTTCTTTGTATAGCAGTAGTATTTTAACTAATGATACTGAACTCTGCTCCGTCTAAGCTCATCATCATATCCAAAGCTCAACATCATCTGCAGTATTAATAAGTGTAAAGTTTTCACTGCTGAAGCACTTAGGTATTGGTTCACATTCTATAAAAAATGTAATCAAGTAGTATCCCAGATAAAAGGACACAAGTGCAACTAATGTGACATTTTATTATGGCAACGTTTTGCTCTCCAGGAGCTTTGTCAAGCCGTTACAAACAATACGTGGACACAGAGGGTATACAGTAGGGCCCAGCTTTATGGCATTCCGCTAATAGGGACATTTCAAATTATGACCAAAACTCACTATGAGGCTACCCCCACCTGACTTTCTAATATGGTCTCCGTGCCCCACCTGGTTTGTTTACATTCTTTGTGAGCTATGCGAGCACCGTCTCTCTCCATTATGACTGGAAACTTTCCAAAATTTCAAGTGTTTTAAAGTTATTTCATGTTTTATATATATGTACTCTGATAATTATATACTTATGTGTACCTCTACCTAAATAAACTTACACACTGTGCTGGCATGCAGGTACACATTAAACTCACTAAGAGTGTCTTATTAGTCTTGAGAATGCCATATTAATGATAATAATAATACTCAATAATAATCCCTCTGAGGTGCATTAAATGCCTTATATTACATTAATAAAACATTTTCATTAATCCATCTATGATATTTTTTCAAAACTACAGTGAAACCCCGGGTTTTGGCCATAATCCATTCCAGGAGCTAAGTCTAAACGTGAAACGGCTGAAAGGTGAAGCCATATTTCCCATAAGAAATAATGTAAATAAAGTTAGTCCTTCCAGACCCACAAAAATATTCACAAAAAATACATTTTTTAAATAATAACTATAGTTTTACATATACACAACACAGATAAATACATATATATCATATAGATAAATTAAAATTTAAAACTGAAGTAGGACAAGGTTTCCTCACTGAACATGTTGCAGATATAGCTTGTTTCAGCTTGGTCAGGGTGATACTTCTTAACAAAAGTTTGCAACTCATTCCACTTTTCACGCTGGCTGGCTGGCTGGCTGGCTGGCTGGCTGGCTGGCTGGCTGGCTGGCTGGCTGGCTGGCTGGCTGGCTGGCTGGCTGGCTGGGCTGGCTGGCTGGTGGCTGGTGGCTGGCTGTGCGTGGCTGGTGGCTGGCTGGCTGGCTGGCTGGCTGGCTGGCTGCTGGCTGGCTGGCTGGCTGGCTGGCTGGCTGGCTGGCTGGCTGGCTGGCTGGCTGGCTGGCTGGCTGGCTGGCTGGCTGGCTGGCTGGCTGGCTGGCTGGCTGGCTGGCTGGCTGGCTGGCTGGCTGGCTGGGCTGGCTGGTGGCTGGCTGGCTGGCTGGCTGGCTGGCTGGCTGGCTGGTGCTGGCTGGCTGGCTGGCTGGCTGGCTGGCTGGCTGGTGTGGCTGGTGGCTGGCTGGGCTGGCTGGCTGGCTGGCTGGCTGGCTGGCTGGCTGGCTGGCTGGCTGGTGGCTGGCTGGCTGGCTGGCTGGCTGGCTGGCTGCTGGCTGGCTGGCTGGCTGGTGGCTGGTGGCTGGCCTGGCTGGCTGGCTGGCTGGCTGGCTGGCTGGCTGGCTGGCTGTGGCTGGCTGGCTGCTGGGCTGGCTGGCTGGCTGGCTGGCTGGCTGGCTGGTGGCTGGCTGGCTGGCTGGCTGGCTGGCTGGCTGGGCTGGCTGGCATGCTGGCTGGCTGGCTGGCTGGCTGGCTGGCTGGCTGGCTGGCTGGCTGGCTGGCTGGCTGGCTGGCTGGCTGGCTGGCTGGCTGGCTGGCTGGCTGGCTGGCTGGCTGGCTGGCTGGCTGGCTAGTTGGATGGCTAGCTGGCTGGCTAGCTGGCTGGCTAGCTGGCTGGCTGTCTCCCCGGCTGGCTGGCTCCCTGGCTGGCTAGCTCCCTGGCTGGCTGGCTGGCTAGCTCCCTGGCTGGCTGGCTGGCTAGCTCCCTGGCTGGCTGGCTGGCTGGCTGGCTGGCTGGCTGGCTGGCGGGCTCCCTGGCCGGCTGGCTCGCTGGCTGGCTCCCTGGCTGGTTGGATGGCTGGTTCCCCAGCTGGCTGGCTCCCCGGCCGGCTGGCTGGCTCCCCGGCCGGCTGGCTGGCTCCCTGGCTGCCTGGATGGCTGGCTCACTGGCTGCCTGGATGGCTGGCTCACTGGCTGCCTGGATGGCTGGCTCCCTGGCTGCCTGGATGGCTGGCTCCCTGGCTGGCTGCCTGGATGGCTGGCTGGCTGGATGGCTGGCTGGCTCCCCGGCTGGCAGGCTCCGCGGCTGGCTGGCTCGCTCCCTGGCTGGCTGGCTGGTTCCACGGCTTGCTGGCTCCCTGGCTGGCTGTCTCCCTGGTTGGCTGGCTCCCTGGCTGGCTGGCTGGCTCCCTGGCTGGCTGGCTCCCTGGATGGCTAGCTGGATGGCTGGCTGGTTGGATGGCTAGCTGGATGGATGGCTGGCTGGCTGGCTAGCTGGATGGCTGGCTCCCTGGCTGGCTGGCTCCCTGGCTGGCTGGCTCCCCGGCTGACTGGCTGGCTGGCTCCCCGGCTGGCTGGCTGGCTGGCTCCCCGGCTGGCTGGCTGGCTCCCTGGCTGGCTGGCTCCCCGACTGGCTGGCTCCTTGGCTGGCTGGCTCCCCAGCAGGCTGGCTGGCTCCCCGGCCGGCTGGCTGGCTCCCCAGCCGGCTGGCTGGCTCCCCGGCCGGTTGGCTGGCTCCCCGGCCAGCTGGCTGGCTCCCCGGCTGGCTGGCTGGCGCCCTGGCTGGCTAGTTGGATGGCTGGCTGGCTGGCTGGCTAGCTGGATGGCTGGCTCCCCGGCTGGCTGGCTCCTCGCCTGGCTGGCTCCCTGGCTGGCTGTCTCCCCGGCTGGCTGTCTCCCCGGCTGGCTGTCTCCCCGGCTGGCTGTCTCCCCGGCTGGCTGGCTCCCTGGCTGGTTGGCTCCCTGGCTGGCTGGCTGGTTCCCCGGCTGGCTGGCTCCCTGGCTGGCTGTCTCCCTGGTTGGCTGGCTCCCTGGCTGGCTGGCTGGCTCCCTGGCTGGCTGGCTCCCTGGATGGCTAGCTGGATGGCTGGCTGGTTGGATGGCTAGCTGGATGGATGGCTGGCTGGCTGGCTAGCTGGATGGCTGGCTCCCTGGCTGGCTGGCTCCCTGGCTGGCTGGCTCCCCGGCTGACTGGCTGGCTGGCTCCCCGGCTGGCTGGCTGGCTGGCTCCCCGGCTGGCTGGCTGGCTCCCTGGCTGGCTGGCTCCCCGACTGGCTGGCTCCTTGGCTGGCTGGCTCCCCAGCAGGCTGGCTGGCTCCCCGGCCGGCTGGCTGGCTCCCCAGCCGGCTGGCTGGCTCCCCGGCCGGTTGGCTGGCTCCCCGGCCAGCTGGCTGGCTCCCCGGCTGGCTGGCTGGCGCCCTGGCTGGCTAGTTGGATGGCTGGCTGGCTGGCTGGCTAGCTGGATGGCTGGCTCCCCGGCTGGCTGGCTCCTCGCCTGGCTGGCTCCCTGGCTGGCTGTCTCCCCGGCTGGCTGTCTCCCCGGCTGGCTGTCTCCCCGGCTGGCTGTCTCCCCGGCTGGCTGGCTCCCTGGCTGGTTGGCTCCCTGGCTGGCTGGCTGGTTCCCCGGCTGGCTGGCTCCCTGGCTGGCTCCCTGGCTGGCTCCCTGGATGGCTGGCTGGCTGGCTGGCTGGCTGGCTAGCTGGATGGCTGGCTGGCAGGATGAGAGTGCAGGGTAATGTTCACTAAAGGATAAACAACGCTAGACTGGCTGATGATGCCTGTGCGGGCAGGCGGACTGGTCTGGTACGCTGGCCGAAACCTGGAGCAACGGCTGAAATGCTGGACAAAATTTGGCCGAAAAAAGCAGGCGTAAGCCAAAGTGGCAAATTCCCAGGGCAGATGAAACCCGGGGTTTCACTGTACAGTGGAACCTCAGCTTACGAATTTAATCCGTTCCGTGGACTTGTTCATATCCTGATTTGTTCATATGCTGGGTCAATTTTCCTAATTTAAATTAATTGACATGCAATTACAGTGGACCCCCGCCTTACGATGGCATTGCATTACGTTGAATCCGCCAAACGATACATTTGAACGCAAAAATTTTGCCTCGTCTCACGCTAAAAAACCTCTCCTCGCGCGATTCGTCCAGGACGCGTCCCACGTATGGCCTCAGTGCCAGTGTTTACAAGCCAGCCAGTGCGGTCGCATCCACGCATACATTCGGTACATTTCACCTTATCCCAGTGTTTTTTGTGCTTGTAACTGCAAAATAAGTCACCATGGGCCCCAAGAAAGCTTCTAGTGCCAACCCTGTGGTAAAAAGTGTGAGAATTAGTATGGAAATTAAGGAAGATTCTGAAGGGTTTGGGGCTAACCCTGAGAAGCCTATGCCAGTTGTGGAATCCATTGTGCCTACTTCAAAGATTAAGGAAATGTGTGCAAAGTGGGTTGAAGTGCAAACCTTTATGGGTGAAAAGCACCCTAACACAGCTATTGCAAGCCGTGCTGGTGACTATTACAATGATAATGTTGTGGCCCACTTTAGGCAAATCTTAAAGGAACGGGAGGTACAGAGCTCTATGGGCAGATTTGTTGTGCGACAGAGGTCCAGTGACTCTCAAACTGGTCCTAGTAGCATTAAAAGAAGAAGGGAAGTAACCCCGGAAAAGGACTTGATACCTCAGGTCCTAATGGAAGGGGATTCCCCTTCTAAACAATAACAACTTCCACACTCTCCCCTCCTCCCATCCCATCAATCATCACCAGATCTTCAATAAAGGTAAGTGTCATGTATTCTATTCTTAGTAGAGTATTAATTATGCATGTCTTCTTCAGTTTGTGTGTATTAAAATTAATATTTCATGTGGTAAAAATTTTTTTTTTTTTCATACTTTGGGGTGTCTTGCAAGGATTAATTTGATTCCCAGTAATTGTGGTAGGGGACCTGAATGCTAAAGTAGGAGAAACTTTTAGAGAGGGTGTGGTAGGTAAGTTTGGGGTGCCAGGTGTAAATGATAATGGGAGCCCTTTGATTGAACTTTGTATAGAAAGGGGTTTAGTTATAGGTAATACATATTTTAAGAAAAAGAGGATAAATAAGTATACACGATATGATGTAGGGCGAAATGACAGTAGTTTGTTGGATTATGTATTGGTAGATAAAAGACTGTTGAGTAGACTTCAGGATGTACATGTTTATAGAGGGGCCACAGATATATCAGATCACTTTCTAGTTGTAGCTACACTGAGAGTAAAAGGTAGATGGGATACAAGGAGAATAGAAGCATCAGGGAAGAGAGAGGTGAAGGTTTATAAACTAAAAGAGGAGGCAGTTAGGGTAAGATATAAACAGCTATTGGAGGATAGATGGCGCTAATGAGAGCATAGGCAATGGGGTCGAAGAGGTATGGGGTAGGTTTAAAAATGTGTGTTAGAGTGTTCAGCAGAAGTTTGTGGTTACAGGAAAGTGGGTGCGGGAGGGAAGAGGAGCGATTGGTGGAATGATGATGTAAAGAGAGTAGTAAAGGGAGAAAAAGTTAGCATATGAGAAGTTTTTACAAAGTAGAAGTGATGCAAGGAGGGAAGAGTATATGGAGAAAAAAGAGAGAGGTTAAGAGAGTGGTGAAGCAATGTAAAAAGAGAGCAAATGAGAGAGTGGGTGAGATGTTATCAACAAATTTTGTTGAAAATAAGAAAAAGTTTTGGAGTGAGATTAACAAGTTAAGAAAGCCTAGAGAACAAATGGATTTGTCAGTTAAAAATAGGAGAGGAGAGTTATTAAATGGGGGAGTTAGAGGTATTGGGAAGATGGAGGGAATATTTTGAGGAATTGTTAAATGTTGATGAAGATAGGGAAGCTGTGATTTCGTGTATAGGGCAAGGAGGAATAACATCTTGTAGGAGTGAGGAAGAGCCAGTTGTGAGTGTGGGGGAAGTTCGTGAGGCAGTAGGTAAAATGAAAGGGGGTTAAGGCAGCCGGGATTGATGGGATAAAAGATAGAAATGTTAAAAGCAGGTGGGGATATAGTTTTGGAGTGGGTTGGTTGCAATTATTTAATAAATGTATGGAAGAGGGTAAGGTACCTAGGGATTGGCAGAGAGCATGCATAGTTCCTTTGTATAAAGGCAAAGGGGATAAAAGAGAGTGCAAAAATTATAGGGGGATAAGTCTGTTGAGTGTACTGGTAAAGTGTATGGTAGAGTTATAATTGAAAGAATTAAGAGTAAGACGGAGAAATAGGATAGCAGATGAACAAGGAGGCTTTAGGAAAGGTAGGGGGTGTGTGGACCAGTGTGTTTACAGTGAAACATATAAGTGAACAGTATTTAGATAAGGCTAAAGAGGTCTTTGTGGCATTTATGGATTTGGAAAAGGCGTATGACAGGGTGGATAGGGGGGCAATGTGGCAGATGTTGCAAGTGTATGGTGTAGGAGGTAGGTTACTGAAAGCAGTGAAGAGTTTTTACGGGGATAGTGAGGCTCAAGTTAGAGTATGTAGGAAAGAGGGAAATTTTTTCCCAGTAAAAGTAGGCCTTAGACAAGGATGTGTGATGTCACCGTGGTTGTTTAATAATTTATAGATGGGGTTGTAAGAGAAGTAAATGCGAGGGTCTTGGCAAGAGGCGTGGAGTTAAAAGATAAAGAATCACACACAAAGTGGGAGTTGTCACAGCTGCTCTTTGCTGATGACACTGTGCTCTTGGGAGATTCTGAAGAGAAGCTGCAGAGATTGGTGGATGAATTTGGTAGGGTGTGCAAAAGAAGAAAATTAAAGGTGAATACAGGAAAGAGTAAGGTTATGAGGATAACAAAAAGATTAGGTGATGAAAGATTGAATATCAGATTGGAGGGAGAGAGTATGGAGGAGGTGAACGTATTCAGATATTTGGGAGTGGACGTGTCAGCGGATGGGTCTATGAAAGATGAGGTGAATCATAGAATTGATGAGGGAAAAAGAGTGAGTGGTGCACTTAGGAGTCTGTGGGACAAAGAACTTTGTCCTTGGAGGCAAAGCGGGAATGTATGAGAGTATAGTTTAACCAACGCTCTTATATGGGTGTGAAGCATGGGTGATGAATGTTGCAGCGAGGAGAAGGCTGGAGGCAGTGATGTCATGTCTGAGGGCAATGTGTGGTGTGAATATAATGCAGAGAATTCGTAGTTTGGAAGTTAGGAGGAGGTGCGGGATTACCAAAACTGTTGTCCAGAGGGCTGAGGAAGGGTTGTTGAGGTGGTTCGGAAATGTAGAGAGAATGGAGCAAACAGAATAACTTCAAGAGTGTATCAGTCTGTAGTGGAAGGAAGGTGGGGTAGGGGTCGCCTAGGAAAGGTTGGAGGGAGGGGGTAAGGTTTTGTGTGCGAGGAGCTTGGACTTCCAGCGGGCTTTGCGTGAGCGTGTTTGATAGGAGGGAATGGAGACAAATGGTTTTTAATACTTGACGTGCTGTTGGAGTGTGAGCAAAGTAACATTTATGAAGGGGTTCAGGGAAACCGGCAGGCCGGACTTGAGTCCTGGAGATGGGAAGTACAGTGCCTGCACTCTGAAGGAGGGGTGTTAATGTTGCAGTTTAAAAACTGTAGTGTAAAGCACCCTTCTGGCAAGACAGTGATGGAGTGAATGATGGTGAAAGTTTTTCTTTTTCGGGCCACCCTGCCTTGGTGGGAATCGGCCAGTGTGATAATAAAAATAAATAATAAATATTTCTTATGGGGAAAATTAATTCGCCTTACAATAATTTCGGCTTACGATGAGCTCTCAGGAACGGATTAATATCATAAGGTGGGGGTCCACTGTATACCTATAAAAACTATACGAAAATACACCTCAAAGTCGGCGTTTTATTCCAAAAACATGGTCGGAGTTTTTTTTTCTCATTATGCACGGCTTGCTGCAGGATTTTTTTTATATGGTGCACACTGACCACACAGACCTATTCTCTCAAATGTGGGCCTACCAGCTTTCTCCCGCTTGATTTGAAGCCGCTAGAATTTCTGAGTATATGTACGTCAAACACATTGGCTAGTAAGACGTATATATACAACCAAAACAGTCAAAGGGTTAAGGAACCTTCCTTGAGGGAGAAGTTCGCATCCTGAAATTTCATTCATATCCAGAAGCAAAAACATCTACCGAACGACAGTTCGTATCCTGAAAAAATCGCATGGTGGGGCATTCATAAGCCGAGGTTCCACTGTGTATAATAAACGATGAATTCGTTTACCAACCTGGCCTTAAGAACGGAACTCCGTCGTTGAGTGAGGAGAGGTTGCATTAGCTTTGCTTCAATGGAGTTACTTACATATTTAATTTTTCCATCATTTGCTTTAGACAGAAATAGTTCATGTTTAACTGTTTTATATTTTCTGAGTGTTGCTTATTAATAAAATTGTTAATCTTATTCCATTATAATTTATTTTTCTATAATTTCTTGTCATGAGGAGGAATCAGTCTTTTCAAATGCTCTATGAGGGGGTCTGAGAGGGCCATTACACCTTCACAAGGATGATTTGGAGGGTATATAAATCTGTGGTGGAGGAGAGGAGGGATAGGGGTCATCATAGGATAGGATGGAGGGGGGGAGGTAAAAGAGGTTTTGTGTGCAAGGGGCCCGAACATGCAGTGGGCAAGTGCGAGTGCATTAGGTAGGAGTGAACAAAGATGAATAGTTTTTGAGACCTGATGAGCTGTTGGAGTGTAAGCAGGGTAATATTTTGTGAAAGGATTCAGGGAAACCAGTTAGCTGGACTTAAGTTCTGGAGGGAGGAAGTACAATGCCTGTACTTTAAAGGAGGGGCTAGGGATATTGGCTGTTTGGAGCGACATCTAGACTGACATATCTGGACGCCTCTGCAAAGACAGTGATTATGTGTGAATGATGGTGAAAGTGTTTCTTTCTTTTTTTGGGTCACCCTGCCTGGGTGGGAGACAATTGACATGTTGAAAAGAAAAAATGTAAAAGAAGTAAATTAAAAGTGGACACAGGAATAAGCAAGGTGACAAAAATTTAGGTAGTGAAAGATTGGATATCAGACAGGAAGGAGGGAGTATGGAGGAAGTGAATGTATTCATACATTTGGGAGTGGACTTGTCGGTGGATGAATCTATGAAAGATGAAGTGAACCACAGAACAGACATGGGTTAAAAGGCGGGTGGTGTACTGAGGCATCTGTGGAGAAAAAAAAAAAAAAAAAACATTACCCATGGAGGCAAAAAGGGGAATGCATCAAGAGTATATTGGTACCAACACCATTACATGGGTGTGAAACATGGATCAAATTTAAATGTTGCAGTGAGGAAGCTAGAGGCAGTGGAGATGTCATACCTGAGAGCATCGTGTGGTGTGAACCTCATGCAGAGAATTCGTAACTGGGAGGTTAGAGGGTGTGGGGTTACTAAAAGTATCATCAGGAAGGAGCAAAATAGGATGACTTAGATGGTGTATATATCTGTATCAAGAGTAAGGGCAATCCTATGAAATACTAGTCTAAGTGAGGAAGACATGCATACATATCTATGTACGTACACACACATTTATGACATCTACTGCAGATGATCACTCAATCCTTAAGAGAAACTAAAAGAGTTGAAAGATGTAAACAACAGTAAAATCAATGTAATAAACTTTACAAAATAAAATTCTATTGGAAGAAAGCAGATTTAAAATTATAAATTTAATTACTGTCTTACCTTTAATGAAACCTGCGCGTGCCTTTTTGTAGAGTCCCTTTACATCTCGTTGTTCACACACTTCAAGTGGAGTGTCTACAAAGACTTCGAAGAAAGATAAGCCTGACTCCTCATGTATTTTTCTGGCTTGTTCACGATCCTGGTAACCATAAATGTAACCAATTGAAATGCTTTGCAAATTAGATCTACTGTTTATGTTAAGTGAAACTGTGATTAACTATTGTATATTTCTTAGTACTCTATATATTTCAGGTGATGAGTAAAACATGTTTTACTCATCAATTTACTGGCATTGTATACCATTTATAATGATACAGTGATACCTCGGTATACGTCCACTTTGGAATAAGTCCAGCTTGGTATACATCCTGTTTGGATGCAAAATTTTTTATTTATTTATTTTATTTATTTTATTTTATTTATTTAGAAATTTAGCATACATACAGAGGTACAAAAAAATACAGGTAAGAGCAGCATGCCAAAGCCACTTATATGCATAGCATTATGGGCTGGCTTACAATTAACTTAAGATTAACTAAGCAATGATGAAATCAGTGATAAGACATTATTGTAAACAGATAACTTTAAAATACAAATGAGTATTACAAAGACAGGTCATATGGTTGCATGCATTGCTGTTCATTCAGTAGAATGGAGTATTCTGTTAGGTAGTGTATTTAAAAAAAAATAACAAAGTTAGGTTTAACATTTGTGTGATATAATTGTGAGTAACATTTAGGATATATAATTTATATGGTTCAGTTATTCAGTATTTATTTGGTTTTGAGTGAGTAAGTGAACTTTGAGAAGAGACTTGAATTTATAAACAGGTAGTGTTTCTTTTATATTTACAGGTAATGAATTCCAGATTTTAGGGCCTTTTATGTGCATTGAGTTTTTGCATAGCGTGAGATGGACACGAGGAACATCAAAGAGTGATCTGTGCCTTGTATTATGGTCATGTGTTCTGTTGAGGTTGGCAAGGAGATGTTTGAGGGGAGGGTTAATATCAGAGTTAAGTGTTCTATGTATGTAATAAGTGCAATAATAAGTATGGATGTTTTGTATGGTGAGTAGGTTGAGTGTTTTGAATATTGGTGGAGTGTGCTGCCTGTATATGCCTGTATATGACCTGTATATGACCTTTGTCTGGAATACGACTCGTGTGGTAAAACTTGCGTGGATCAAAATGAGTCATGACACTGGGCAATGTGTGGTGTAAATATTATGCAGAAAATTCGGAGTGTGGAAATTAGGAAAAGGTGTGGAGTTAATAAAAGTATTAGTCAGAGGGCAGAAGAGGGGTTGTTGAGGTGGTTTGGTCATTTAGAGAGAATGGATCAAAGTAGAATGACATGGAAAGCATATAAATCTATAGGGGGAGGAAGGCAGGGTAGGGGTCATCCTTGAAAGGGTTGGAGAGAGGGGGTAAAGGAGGTTTTGTGGGCAAGGGGCTTGGACTTCCAGCAAGCGTGTGTGAGCGTGTTAGATAGGAGTGAATGGAGACGAATGGTACTTGGGACCTGACGATCTGTTGGAGCGTGAGCAGGGTAATATTTAGTGAAGGGATTCAGGGAAACAGGTTATTTTCATATAGTCGGACTTGAGTCCTGGAAATGGGAAGTACAATGCCTGCACTTTAAAAGAGGGGTTTGGGATATTGGCAGTTTGGAGGGATATGTTGTGTATCTTTATATGTGTATGCTTCTAAATTGTTGTATTCTGAGCACCTCTGCAAAAACAGTGATAATGTGTGAGTGTGGTGAAAGTGTTGAAAGATGATGAAAGTATTTTCTTTTTGGGGATTTTCTTTCTTTTTTGGGTCACCCTGCCTCGGTGGGAGACGGCCGACTTGTTGGGGAAAAAAAAAATACATAATCATAATAATAATAATAATAATAATAATATGTAATAATAAATGTTCACCCATGACAGTGACAAGATAAGGGGAGATAACATCTGATAAGAGCTGACGTTTGATGAGGGCAAACTAGGGTGGAGGAGGGTGCAGCTGATAAGAAAAGATTAGATGACCATCGCCCTCCCTTTGTTTTTGCTGGTACACTAACATTTCTGTCTGTCTAGCTCTCTGTCTCAGAGAGCCACAAGACTGCGTCATCGCTTTTACTCAACTTCAAGCAGAGTATAGCACTTTGTCTGGATTTCTTGGGTTATCCTAGGTAATTTATACTATGTATACTTGTACAGTGGACCCCCGGTATTCGATATTAATCCGTTCCTGAGAGCTCATCGAATACCGATAATATCAAAAACTGAATCAATTTTCCTCATAAGAAATAATGGAAATCAAATTAATCCGTGCAAGACACCCAAAAGTATGAAAAAAAAAAAATTACATGAAATATTAAGTTTAATGCAATAGAATGATTACAATAATAAAATAATTGACACTTACCTTTAATGAAGATCTGGTGATGATTGATGGGATGGGAGGAGGGGAGAGAGTGTGTTAGTGTTTAGAAGGGGAATCCCCTTCCATTAAGACTTGAGGTAGCAAGTCCTTTTCTGGGGTTACTTCCCTTCTTCTTTTAATGCCACTAGGACCAGCTTGAGAGTCATTGGACCCTGTCGCACAACAAATCTGTCCATAGAGCTCTGTACCTCCCGTTCCTTTATGATTTGTCTAAAATGGGCCACAACATTGTCATTGTAATAGTCACCAGCACGGATTGCAATAGCTGTGTTAGGGTGATTTTCATCCATAAAGGTTTGCACTTCAACCCACTGTGCACACATTTCCTTAATTTTTGAAGTAGACACAATGGATTCCACAACTGGCATAGGCTTCTCAGGGTTAGCCCCAAACCCTTCAAAATCTTTCTTAATTTCCAAACTAATTCTCACCCTTTTTACCACAGGGTTGGCACTAGAAGCTTTCTTGGGGCCCATGGTGACTTATTTTGCAGAAACAAGCACCAAACACAGTGATAATATGGATAATATGGAATGTACCGAATGTATCCTTAGATGCGCGCACACTGGCTGGCTTGTAAACACTGGCAAACACGGGGCAGTTCTGGCCATACATGGACAGGTCTCGTACGAATCGTATCGAATACCGGGTTTTCCATCGAATACCGAGGAAATTTTTTTGCGATATAATGCATCGAATACTGATGCCATCGAATACCAGGGGTCCACTGTATTTATGTGTACCTGTGAGACAGAGATAGACAGACAGAAAGAAAGAGACAGATTGAAAGAGATAGAATGAGGGAGAAAGATAATTAGATAGAATGGAGAGGGAGCAGCATCCGACCCCATTGTTTTGACAGGGGGTAGTGGGAGTGAGTGATGAGACAATATGTCATTTTGACAGCTGCCGACTCCTGGTAATTTACACTATGGAGGAGGAGGAGGAAGAGGGGAAGGAAGAGGAAGAGTAGGAAGAAGAGGAGGAGGAGAAGGAAGAGGAGGAGGAAGAAGAGGAAGAGTAGGAGGAAGAGTAGGGGGAAGAGGAGGAGAAGAGGAGGAGGAAGAGGAGGAGGAAGAGGAAGAGGAGGGAAAGGAAGAGGAGGAGGAGGGAGAGGTAGAGTAGGAGGAAAGATTAGGGGGAAGAGGAAGAAAAGGAGGAGGAGGAGGAAGAGGAGGAGAAGGAAGAGGAGGAGGAGGAAGAGTAGGAGGAAGAGTAGGAGGAAGAGGAGGAAGAGGAGGAAGAGGAGGAGGAAGAGGAGGAGGAAGAGAGGAGGAGGAGGAAGAAGAGGAAGAGGAAGAAGAGGAGAAGGAAGAGGAGGAAGAGGAAGAGCAGGAGGAAGAGTAAGAAGAGGAGGAAGAGGAGGAGGAGGAGGAAGAGTAGGAGGAAGAGTAGGGGGAAGAGGAAGAGTAGGAGGAAGAGTAGGGGAAGAGGAAGAGTAGGGGAAGAGGAAGAAGAGGAGGAAGAAGAGGAGGAAGAGGAGGAGGAAGAGGGGGGAGAGGAAGAAGAGGAGGAAGAAGAGGAAGAGTAGAAGGATGAGTAGGGAGAGGAAGAGGAGGAGGAGGAAGAGTAGGAGGAAGATGAAGAAGAGGAGGAGGAGGAAGAGGAGGAAGAAGAGGAGGAAGAGGAAGAAGAGGAGGAAGAGGAAGAAGAGGAGGAGGAAGAAGAGGAGGAGGAGGAGGAGAGGAGGAGGAAGAGGAGGAAGAAGAGGAGGAAGAAGAGAAGGAGGAAGAGGAGGAGGAAGAAGAGGAGGAAGAAGAGGAGGAGGAAGAGTAAGGGGAAGAGGAGGAAGAGGAAGAAGAGGAGGAAGAAGAGGAGGAGGAGGAGGAGGAGGAGGAGGAGGAGGAAGAAGAGGAAGATGATGATGATGATGTAATGATATTGTTCCCTTGAAGCAAGAAAAAAAAAGTTCATCCCATGGCAGTGACAAGATAAGGGAAGATAACATCTGATAAGAGCTGACGTTTGATGAGGGTAAACAAGGGTGCAGCTGATAAGAAAAGATTAGATGACCATCGCCCTCCCTTTGTTTTTACTGGTACACAAACATTTCTGTCTGTCAAGCTCCCTGTCTATCCGTCTAGCTCTCTGTCTCAGAGCCACAAGACTGTGTCATCACCATGTTTACTCACATCTCCTGACTCCTGACTCAAAACAATTATAAGCCACACACTCCCACACAAGACAAGCTTGCTGAATGAATATAATAGCAGTTATATGAAAGTATCTAGTGACTATATATGTATATATATATTATAGAAACCAGAAGCAAGAAGGGAAGGCAGGAATGAAGGAAGGACGAGATGAAAAGAAGGAAAAAAGTAAGGAAGGACAGATGAAGGAATGTAGGAAGAGAGGTAGGAAAAGAATGCAGGAAAGGAATGCAGGAAAGGAATGCAAGAAAGGAATGCAGGAAAGAAATGCAGGAAATTAGAAAGGAAGGAATGATGACACACGACCATTTACCTAGGATAACTACATAACATAACTGCCTGCTAATACTTTGAAGAAAACTGCTCAGACGAGGTGTTTTGTCTTTGCACATTAAAAAAAAGTCCACAAAAATGCACACACACTGGTTTTATGTGTGAGGAGTGTAAAACACCATTGTGTATGAAAACATGTTTCAAAGAGTTACACAAGCTGCAGAACTTCTAGGAATATGTTCGGTGACTGTACATTGGTATATATATTATAAAACAATAGTAATAAAAAAAATTTTGTATTTGTTTTTGTAAACAAGTTTTGTAAACAATATATTGATAATTATGTTTGTGTGCTTATTGTGTTGTATACAACGAGTGTATATATGTACATTGCACCTTACTTTGGTCTCACAGGCCACATAAGTTATGTGAAAAAATAAAATAGTGAAAAAAACAACAAACCTTCAAATACAAGTAAACCAAAGTTTACCGGGTGAGCGGCAGTCGCCGTTGTTGCCATACGCGGCTCATTTTCTGCAAACTTCACGCCTCCATATCTCAGTAAGTATTGATGGTAAAATTTTTTTGTTTATCCTATAATGTTTAGAAAAAAAAAAAAACTATTTTTTCACAAGAAAAAATAATGTTTCTTTTTTTTAAATTTAACCGACCCTGAGAACAAGTCTCTGAGAGGGCCTGTCGACCCTCAAAGGGTTAAGCAGTGTTTAAATTATTTTATACAACCCCAGCAATGTATAATAAGCCAATAATAATAGGATTTTTTTTCATGGGAACGGATGAATCGTTTTCCCTATATTTCTCATGGGAAAATTCATTGGTATACGTCCTGTTTATTATAAGTCCAAGGTCCTGGATCGGATTAAGGACATATACTGAGGTACAACTGTATACAGTGGACCCCCGGTTCGCGATGCTATCGGTATCCGATAAATCCGGTAACCGATGCATTATATCGCAGAAAATTTGCCTCGCTTCCCGATACAAAACCCGGTATGTGATGTGGTTCGTACGAGACATGTCCATGTGTGGCCTGAACTGCCCCATGTGTGCCAGTGTTTACAAGCCAGCCAGTGTGTGCGCATCTAAGGATACATTCGGTACATTCCATATTATCACTGTTTTTGGTGCCTGTTTTTGCAAAATAAGTCACCATGGGCCCCAAGAAAGCTCCCAGTGCCAACCCTTCAAGATCAAGGGTGCTAATGACTGTTGAAATGAAGAAAGAGATAATTGCAAAGTACGAAAGTGGAGTGCGTGTGTCGGAGCTGGTCAGGTTGTATAGTAAACCCCAATTAACCAACTCTACTATAGTGAGCAAGAAAATGGCAATCAAGGAAGCTGTTCTTGCAAAAGGTGCAACTGTGATTACGAAAAAGCGACCGCAAGTGTTAGAAAATGTTGAGAGACTGTTATTGGTGTGGATAAATGAAAAACAGATAGCAGGAGATAGCATCTCTCAAGCAATCATTTGTGAAAAGGCTAGGCAGTTGCATGACGATTTGGTAAAAAAATTGCCTGCAACTAGTGGTGATGTGAGTGAATATAAGGCCAGCAAAGGTTGGTTTGAAAGATTTAAGAATCATAGTGGTATACATAGTGTGATTAGGCATGGTGAGGCTGCCAGTTATGTTGTGCGATAGAGTCCAGTGACTCTCAAGCTGGTCCTAGTGGCATTAAAAGAAAAAGGGAAGTAACCCCGGAAAAGGACTTGCTACCTCAAGTACTAATGGAGGGGGATTCTCCTTCTAAATGCTAACACCATCCACACTCCCCTCCTCCCATCCCATCAATCATCACCAGATCTTCATTAAAGGTAAGTGTCAATTATTTTTGTTATTTATTGTTATTTATTGTTATTGTTGTTATTGTAATTACTATTCTATTGCATTAAACTTAATATTTCATGTGGTAAAAGTTTTTTTTTCATACTTTTGGGTGTCTTGCATGGATTAATTTGATTTCCATTATTTCTTATGGGGAAAATTGATTCGCTTTCCGATATTTTTGGTTTACGATGAGCTCTCAGGAACGGATTAGTATAGCGAACTGGGGGTCCACTGTACTGTATTTCTACATTCAGATTCTGGTAAAGTATTAGACTTTCTCTATCTTTTTTTTTACTCAAGCTTTATTAGGATCAGAAATATTTTAATAACTTAATTCAAATAAAACATGTAAGCATTCTTCCCAATCAAGGCCCCTAATCTAGAGATATGCCGACTATCAGCCTTCAGGTATTCACTGCAAATATATCATCTCTTTTCCTGACTAAAGTTCAGTAAGAACAAAAATATTAAAGAATTGGCTCAGGAGATAGATATCTTACAAGTTTCTTAAATTAAGACTTGAACACATCCTGAGTTATTCAGGTCTAGCTCAGACTGTATTAGAAAGTTCTTGACTTAGTCCTTCATTACATTCATTATTAATATAGCAATGCCTACAATCCCATTGCTCATAGTGCACTGTCTTTGCTAAATAGTCTACCATAATTTTTTTTTTTAAATTTCCAGTAGTTGCAGTACAGCACTTACTATATTTTGTAAGACACTGCACTGTTCTGCAACTCTGTTTGTATAAAACATTCCAATATTCTTTTGTCAGCACTTCTCTTGTAGTGTATTGCTGTGATCTCTTCTTCATATTACACAATCTGTCTGGCAGTACCTATTTCAAATATTGTAAGCCTGTGATGGTTGGTAGTCCCAATTTTTTTTGCAGACTTATCCTTAGGGATTTATGATACAGAAGCCAATGAAGGCAACCATGGCAGCATTGAGAATTTTGTAGAATTTCCAGAAATCCAAGATGGATACCACAAAAATAAATATTCAGTACAGTACATCAGTTTTGGTCATAACTTCAATCCTATTTTTAAGAGTATTCAAACATCTAAACCTATATTATGTCATGAAAGCCATGAAGCAACCCCCTCTTCCCCCCCTCCTTTATTTGAAGGATAATGACATGTATCCCTGTCTTCAGAGCATTAGCACATTAATACATGATCAGTAATCATGCCATTGGTAATATTGTACAAATAAGCAGATGAATGACAGTGAATTAGCATACTGATTAAAATGATTCATGATTTTGGGAATACTGTATTATGAATGAGAGGATAATGAATATAACACAATATTTAGATAAGGCTACCTGGAGGAATTTCTGCTAAGGTTGCTTCAATGGATGGGATTTCCCAGAGTTAATAAAGAATGAGATATTGATTGATAGATAACCACAATTTTTGTAGTCTTTTCTTATTCTTCTCACAACACATGCTAATTGCTTTACTGGAAAGCCATGTAAACATGTAGAAATTGTGTACAATATTAAAGCTGAAGAATTTGCTGAATAATTAATGCTAACCTTCGAAAAAGGAGAGACAAATGAGCAGAGAGCTACCACACCAGAATCTGCAAAAAGCTTAGCTACTTCTGACACACGTCTAATGTTTTCCTCGCGATCTTCATCCGAGAAACCGAGATTCTTATTGAGTCCATGACGCATGTTGTCACCATCAAGACAGTAGGCAGGGATACCACGTGAGACCAGGTACTCCTCCAGAGCAAAACTTATTGTGGTTTTGCCTGCAAAAATAAATATAAATAAGCATAATTTCACTACAATATTACATAATATTACTATACAAGTGATAAGGGAAAAAAAAAAGTGGGCAAGGCACTAAGGGATATGTGGAGACAAAAGAACCTTATCCATGGAGGAAAAAAAGGGGAATGTACTCAAGTACAGTGGTACCTCAGAATATGAACAGCTCAAAACTCGAACATTTATGAAAGTGCTTTTGTAAGTGTATTTTTGGAGGTCTGAAATGGATTAATCTGATTTACATTATTCCTTTTGGGAACAAACTCATTCGGTATCAGCACTCGAACAGTCTTCTGGAACGAAAAAAATTCGTATCCCAAGGTACTACTGTACAGTGATACCAACATTGGCTCAAATGTTAAAGTGAAGAGGAGGCTGGAGGCAGCAGAAATATCACATTAAGAGCAATGTTTTGTGTGAATATTGTACAGAGAATTTATAGCTTGAAGATTAGGTGTGAGGTTACCAAATGTATTATTCAAAGGGCAGTTTGGGCATATAGAGAGGTTGGAGCAAAATAGGATAACTAGGAGGGTATATATATTGGGGATTGTCCAAGAAAAGGTTGGAGGGTAGGGGTACAGGAGGTACCGAGTGCTAGGGACTTGGACAATACAACAAGCCTGTGTGAGCTTGTTAGATAAGAGTGGAGGCAACTGGTTTTTATGATTGACATGCTGTTGGAGTGTGAGCAAGGTAACATTTATGAAGGAATTTGGGTAAATAGTTAGCCAGACTGGAATCCTGAACTCTGATGCCAGTGCCCTTCTGGCAGGATAGTAATTGAAGAACGACAGTGAAAGTGTTCTTTTTTGTAGGGTCACCCTACCTTAATCGAGACAGAGTGTATAAAAAAAAGGGGACGAGAAACAGTCAAGTCGCCAGGTTCAAACCTTCAGGTATTGAATGCTTTTTACTTTGCTAAGGCTAGCTTATTCTTTGTTTACTACTACTACTACTCTATGTTCTTTTCACAAGAAAACTGAATATATATTTTTATTCTTTTCCTGTTATACATATTGCCCTTATATTATAGGCTGTCAATCCATAATTGCTTTTGCCAGATGCTTTAGTGAAGTCTACGTAGACTACATCTGCATTTTGATTTTTTTTCCCCAAAGCCTTCTTAATTTTATCATAATGACATAGTAGTTGTGACCCACATGATCTTCCTGCTGTGTACGAATGGTATACAATACCGACAAAATGAGATTAAGACACATGTGCAACATCTGGGTATCTTTATTGTAGACGTTTTGCCATCCAGTGGCTTTATCAATACAAATTCTAGGACATAACTTGAAGACAGTAGAACTATGTACAGAAGATGAGGTAATCAGTCCCTCAACCTAGGAGTAGGTGCGAAGAGCACCATAGTCGTGGAGATTCTGAAGCAGAAGAAAGGATCCTGGCGCTTATATAGTAACGTCAGGTGTAGCAGACGAGGGCATATTCACTGGTAGGCGGGATTCCCCAGTGGAAGTAGGTCCTTCCCAAAGAGATGGGTTAGTTGTAGTACTACAACTAACCCATCTCTTTGGGAAGGACCTACTTCCACTGGGGAATCCCGCCTACCAGTGAATATGCCCTCGTCTGCTACACTTGACGTTACTATATAAGCGCCAGGATCCTTTCTTCTGCTTCAGAATCTCCACGACTATGGTGCTCTTCGCACCTACTCCTAGGTTGAGGGACTGATTACCTCATCTTCTGTACATAGTTCTACTGTCTTCAAGTTATGTCCTAGAATTTGTATTGATAAAGCCACTGGATGGCAAAACGTCTACAATAAAGATACCCAGATGTTGCACATGTGTCTTAATCTCATCTTCCTGCTCTAAATTCATGTTGACTTGGGTTGTGTAGACCAAACTTAATCATAAAATTTACAATTTGGCATCTCGCCATGCTTTCAAAATTTTTTACAATGTTTAACGTTAGTGTTACTGGTTTGCAGTGTTTTGCTAGTTCTACTCCTGCATGCAGAGGAGCTATGTTTGCACTTTTTTAAAGCCGCTGGGATTTCCAAAGCATACTGAGTGTTCTTGCAAATGGTATTTTACACTTCTTTATAAACAGTTCCAAGAATCAGGCCCAGGTGTTGCACGTGTGGGCACATCTATTTCCTTTTTAAATTCTGAGGGATTTGAACTCATGTCAGATATACGAGTTGCAGAGTTTACATGGAGAGGGTTTCAGGGGTAAACACCCGGATGGCCCAGTCCCAGACCAAGCCTCCCAGTGGATGGCTTATCAACCAGTTGCATGCAGTCCAATGTATGCACAACAGCCTGGCTAATTAGAAACTAACTAAATAACAGCTAGGGGCCTGCTAGTAATTTCGCTTATGAATGAAGGAAGGGTGTTGAAGTCTTCGTCCCTTTATAATCACTGCATTATCTCTTAGTTTACTTATGGCACCCCTACTTTTCCATGAGAATATTTCACAATATGTGCCAAGCCACTTGCTTTTGAAGGGCGTAATTTCTGTGTGCAGATTTGGGACCAGTCCCTCCAAAAATTTTCCAGGTGTAAATTATGATTCATCTTTCTTGCCTATGTTCAGAGGAGTTAAGTTTAAGGGACTCCAGGAATTCCTAATAATTTAGGTTCTTGATTGAATTTATATGAGCTGTGAAGTTTTTCTGTACTTTCTCCATGCAAATAAAAGGCCAAAACAATATGGACCTCTCTACCTAATGATACAAAAAACTGTCTGTCTGCCAACTGCTTTACAAATATTGTTAAAAACCACTTCTTAACCCTTGGAGGGTCCATCCCGAAGTTCTAAGGCATTGAGCCAGGGTCCAAGCCGCCGTACTACGTCATGAGCTCAGCTCACTCAGATAAGCTGTGAGCAGTAAATTTGGGCCTAGATGAGAGAATGGATCTATGTGGTAAGTGTGCACCATATAAAACAAATCCTGCAGTGCATAATAAGAAAAAAACTGCAATTGTGTTTTTGGATTAAAACAGCAAATTTGTGGTGTATCTATTTTTGTATGGATTTTATGGTTGTATTTGCAGTTTCTTGGTCTCATTTGATAGAATGGAGAATATGTTACAGAAATAGAGATGATTTTGATTGGTTTTAGTACTGAAAATAGCTTGAAATTGAACTCATAGTGGTGGAAACGTTTGATTTTTGCCGATGTTCAAGAGTAAACAAATCACATCACGCATCCAATACACGTCAGCTTGTGGGTCTAATGTGTGTTCACGAATACGCTGATATTATTTATACAATTATTACAATATTGCATAACAGTAAATCTTCTATTTTGTGGTGTGAAGAGCATAATTTCATCAATTTTTTATCAAATTTCGTACTTTTTCTTTTATTACCTCAGAAAAAGATTCTCTACCATTTCATAAGATAAAATAAGAATTTTTTTTTTTTAAATTCTTGGACCCTGCGGGGAATTTTCAGATTGGGGATCTGGACCCTCAAAGGGTTAAATAAAAATACCCAAAACATTTATTGTAACCACTATAGTTCTGCAGCCAATAAATATTACTGTACATGTATAATCAAAAGAATTATTTAGGTTCTGCATTACTGTTTCTTCATATTAAAAAATATAAAGCTCAGCATTCAAACAATCTAAACCTTGCCTGTAAATATCAAGTGCTCTAGTTTTAATTTCCATTTTTAAGACTGCCTGATATGCTCTGCATACCCAGGGGCTCTTCACACACTTTATAATATGTTACCTAGTTTTGCAACTAATGTATGGTTTTTTGGAAAAAATAAAAAAAAATTTTTTAATGAAATTTAATATATTGTAACATGTATCTAACTTGCACAATATACATGACTTGTTGTCTATACAGCCTCTCCTCACTTAATGACCGAGTTCCATTCCTTAGACAATGTTGGTAAACGAATTCATCACTAAGCAAGGAGCATACTATAATGGTAGTGGGTTTGTGTCAACCATCTTTGATGTTGTTTTAACTCTTTCACAGTCAGTCCTGTAATATTACGGCTTGCAAGCCAGCGTTGGCCCTGTAATAGTACTACATAATTCTAGCAGCTTCCAATCTTGGTAGGCCTACAAATGAGAGAATGGGTCTGAGTGGTCAGTGTGCACTGTATAAAAAGAATCCTGCAGCGTTCAGTGCATAATGAGAAAAAAAAATTCCGACCATGTCTGATTTAAAACAGCGACTTTGCGGTGTATTTTCATGTGGTTTTTAAGGTTGTATTTTCATTTTCTTAGTCTCATTTGATAGTAGATAGATTACAGGAATAGAGAAGATTTTGGATGGTTTACAGACTAAAAATACCTTGAAAATGAGCTCAAAGTAGCAGAAATGTTTGATTTTTGCCGATGTTCAAGAGCAAACAAATCACGGAACATGTCCAATACATGTCAACTGGTGGGTCTAATATGCTTTCACAAATGCACTGATATTATTTATACCATTTTTACAATAATGCAGTAGTCTGCATAACAGTAAATCTTCTATTTTTTGTGTGGATAAAAATTCAAAATAGAAAGCATACGTAATATAAGAGGGGCATGGAGACATAACTAATGAACAGAAATTTTTTTATTTTAGTGCTAGGAATGTTTGCATTGTTAATTCTGGACCCTATTTTGAAATTGGCATATTTTTTAATTTGTGTGAAATTGGCCAAATTACCAATTTCTGATCACTTTCTTGAGTAGTTGAAATCGGTAAATGGGTGGTTTCTTGTACTCAATCGACAGAACAAAAGGAGTTCTAGCGAAATAGCTATGAGTTTGGTTGACAGGAACACTGGAATTGGCTGAAAATAGGGCTCAAAGTGGGCAAAATCGCTGATGTGTGAATATCGCCAAGACTGCTAACTTCGCGAGAGCATAATTCCATAAGCTTTCCATCAAATTTTGTACTTTTGGTTTCATTACCATGGGAAAATTATTCTCTATCATTTCATAAGAAAATTATTTTTTTTTTTTTTTTTTGAAAATTCTTTGACAATGAGAGCAAGTTTGTGTGTGAACAGGAATCTCAACAGCAAAAAGGTTAATGTCCCTTTTGCACCATTTATAACATTTTTAGTATATTTTTAAATGTTTATGCAGTAATGTACTGCATATTGTAATAAAAAGAATAGAGGAAATCTGCTCTAATATACATTATTTAGCATAATGGTCAGAGCCTCTCGTAAGTCCGAGTCATTGGTAAACGGGTACAGGTACCATCCCACTTATGACCAAGCTTGGTTCCGACCAACCAGTCCTAAGTCAAAATGGATGTAAGTCGAACCTTCGAAAATTGCCGACATACTGGGTAGGGCATAATGTCAAACCTTTCCTATATAAACCACCTACATAGTTCTGTAATGTAATGTACAATCATTATTTCATTCTTTTTACCATAATTTACTTCTATTGTTATATTTTAATTATTTATGTACTGTATATAATGTATACATGGTAGTGAACTTTATTGTAAATTTTACATCGCATACAGTATCATATGTTACTGTTATCTGTATGTGTTGTCGACACAGTGGAATGGGAGAATACCACTGGTAGTGTCATCGTGCCAGAATGTAGTATAACCTATACCCTAAGTAAAGAGAAACAACTCTGGAACATGTGTAATACGTATCCGGCTGGCTGGGTGGCCGGGTGGGTGGCCAGGTGGTTGGCTGACTGGCTGACTGAATGTGGCTGTCTCTCTCTCTGTATCTCTCTCTCTCTCTCTCTCTCTCTCTCTCTCTCAGGTACACAAAAGTAATCATACATAGTATAAATTACCTAGGATAACCCAAAAAATCCAGACAAAGTGCTATACAGTGGATCTGTGCTCCAGTGCCCTAAATTAATAATAATAATTATTATTATTACAATAATACATATGTACTAATATTAATAATATTATTATTATTAAACTATAATATAATAATCGTGTCCACTCATTACTTACCTTAAAATATCTGTAGTCTTAATGTAGAGTGAGAGGTGAGTAAACAAGATTAAATGAATAAATGAGAGAGAGAATGAGAGTGTAGAAAGTTTGTGAGTTATGTAAACAAATATTGTTGTTACCACCTCGGACACGATTGGTTTCTGTTCACTCTGTCAAGCCGACCAGAAAAACATCTCATATTTGTTAATGTTTATATGCTATGTAGCATGTTTATTATATAATTTTGAAAAAAAAAAAAACAGATGGATTAAGAAAAATGTCTATATTAACGTTTTATACACATTTAATGCGCCTCAGTGATTATTATTGTGTCATTATCATTATTAATACGGTGTCTTCAAGACCAATTACACTCTTAATGAGTGGCTCTGAGACAGACAAGCAGACAGAAAGACACACACAGGTAGACAGAAAGACACACACAAGTAGACAAAGGCAGACACAGGTAGGCATAAAGACAGACACATGGGTAGACAGAAAGACAGACACAAAGGTAGACAGAAAGACACTCAGGTAGACAGACACAGGTAGACATAAAGACAGACACACAGGTAGACATAAAGACAGACACACAGGTAGACAGAAAGACAGACACACAGGCAGACAGAAAGACACACACAGGTAGACAGAAAGATAGACACACAGAGATACAGACAGACACAGATATACAGGCAGACAGATACAGACAGGCTTATGTGCAACAGTGAAAACAAATAAGAGAGTTTGAGAGTAAGATCCTTTCTTGCCACAATCTCCAGTGCAAGATTCAGACTTCATCTTAGGGGCCATTGTGAAATTTACTATCCAGTTAGTACAGTTAATACAGTATGATGCTGCTGATAGGGCAGGGTTACTCAAACTGATGCTGCCTGCATGAAGCATTGCCGCCGCGAGTATCGTCAAATATTGTACAGCAGTGTGCATCAGCCGGCCCTGCCCAGCTGCCAGATGCACGGTCATAAGTTGAGCGGACGTATGTCGAGCAGGTCATAAGTCAGATGGTAGGTGTAAGTCGCTAAGTGAGGAGAGGCTGTACTCTATTCAAATATGCAACTGTACTATAAATGAAGTGGTAACAAAAAATTAATAGAAAGATAACCTAGATCACTGACACAAAATAAAAGAGCACAATATTGCAACTCACCTGCTCCAGACAAACCAGTAAACCAAACAGTACATCCTCGGAAACCTACACGCTGTCCAAGAACCTGACCACGTTTGTTTCTGGTTACGTGGTTGATTTGAAAGGTGACATTGGTAGCTTTCTGCAAACACTACAATAAATTAGATGACATTTCTTTCACTTACAGGTACAGTAATTCTTTGGACAATATAGTAATTCTCTAAAGAAAAAATATCAGAAAAGTATTAATGTAGAGTTCACAATATTACTATGTACTATTGCTACTACTACTGTATAACATTAATATATGTACATACAATAACAACAACAATAATAATACATCCTTCAGTACCTTCCTATGCATGAAAGAAGGGAAGGCACCTATGGACTGGGCAGAGAGAGCATGCACAGTTCCCTTATATAAGGAAAAAAGAAGAGAATGTAAGAATTATATTGGGATAAACCTGCTGAGTTCCAAGAATTTTTCTACTCCCAGAGCTCGGACTTTGGAAATGCTTGTCTGGTGTTTGCCTGGCAGCCTGCTGACCTACATATCCATCACAGCCTGACTGATCTAGCACCTGGTAAAGATACTTGTTCAGTCACTTCTTGAAGATTTCTACACTTGTCCCAGCAGTGTTTCCAATATCTCTGGTAAGATGTTGAATAATCTGGGACCATAGACACTGATGCAGTGTTTCCTTATTGTCTCCAATGTACCTCTGCTTTTCACTGGCTTTATTTTACACTCCCTCCAATAACTCTAACTCCAGCATGTTATGGCAGTTTGCAGATTTGAGACAAGGCCCTCAAGTACATTCCAGGTATATTATCATGAATGTTTCTCCTCCACTCCAGTGAAGCATTCCCATCATTTAAATACTTTATCAGCTCTATGCGGGCTGTAAACAATCTCTGTATCTGTCCCAGCTGATATTTCTCCAGCCCTGAACAGGGCCATCAATACTGAGCAATATTCCAAAGGAGGGAACACAAGCATTTTATAGTGTCCCCAATGGCATTAGTATTTCCCTTGTTTTGAAAGTTCTCATCATCCATCCCAGTATCCTCCTGGCTGTCACGACCTTGGTCTTGTTGTGTTCTTTAAAGGAAAGATCAGTTGATATAATTTTTCCCAAGTCTTTCATGTGTTCCTTTAATTTTATTTGATGATCCTCTTGAGTTTTGTATACAGTGTCCTTTTGAGTTCTTATTCTTTCCATACCTAAGCAGCTGGAACATATCACCATTGAATGTCATGTTATTCTCCACTGCCCACTGGAAAACACTGCTCATATCTTCTTGCAATTTTCCACTCTCTCTCTCTCCCCCCCCCACACACACACATTCCAGAGATGGGACACAGCAACAAGGGGACACAGCTGTAAGTTGAAGACACAGATGAATCACAGGGATGTTAGGAACTATTTCTTCAGCCACATAGTAGTCAAGAAGTGGAATAGTTTGGGAAGCGATGTTGTGGAGGCAGGATCCATACATAGCTTTAACCCTGTCGCAGGCCCCTTTCTGAAACTGTCATTCTATGTCACAAAATATTCGAAAAAAAATATTTTTTTCTTATGAAAATGTTAAGATTATTTTTCTGAGTGTTTTAGTCCAAAAAATTTTTTTTTGCCATCAGTACTTACCGAGATACAGAGGCGTGAAGTTTGCAGAAAATGAGCTGTGTATGGCAACAGTGGTGACTGCCACTCACCAGGTAAACTCTGGTTTACTTGTAATTGAAGGTTTGTTGTTTTTTTCACTATTTTATTTTTTCACATAAATTATGTGGCCTGTGAGACCAAAGTAAGGCGCAATGTACATATATACACTCGTTGTATACAACACAATAAGCACACAAACATAATTATCAATATATTGTTTACAAAACTTATTTACAAAAACAAATACAAAACTTTTTTTTATTACTATTGTTCTACAATATATATACGTACCAATGTACAGTTACCGAACATATTCCTAGAAGTTCTGCAGCTTGTGGAACTCTTTGAAACATGTTTTCCTACACAATGGTGTTTTACACTTCTCACACACAAAACCAGTGTGTGTGCATTTTCGTGGACTTTTTTTTTTTTATGTGCAAAGACAAAACACCTCGTCTGAGCAGTTTTCTTCAAAGTATTAGCAGGCAGTTGTGTTATGTAGTTATCCTAGGTAAATGGTCGTGTGTCATCATTCCTTCCTTCCTGCATTCGTTTCCTACCTTCCTTCCTACTTTCCTGCATTCCTTTCCTACCTTCCTGCATTCCTTTCCTACCTTCCTGCAAACCTTCCCTACCTACCTTCCTGCATTCCTTTCCTACCTTCCTTCCTTCCTACATTCCTTTGTCTTTCCTTACTTTTTTCCTTCCTGTCATCTCATCCTTCATTCATTCCTGCCTTCCATTCTTCCTTCTGGTTTCTATAATATATATACACATATATAGTCACTAGATACTTTTATATAACTGCTATTATCTTCATTCAGCAAGCTTGTCTTGTGTGTGAGTGTGTGGCTTATAATTGTTTTGAGTCAGGCGTCAGCAGCTGTCAAAATGACATATTATCTCATTACTCACTCCCCCTACTGCCTGTCAAAACAATGGGGTCGGATGCTGCTTCCCCTCCATTCTATCTAATTATCTTTCTCCCTCATTCTATCTCTTACAATCTCTCTCTCTCTTTCTATCTGTCTGTCTATCTCTGTCTCACCGGTACACAAATACAAGTATACATAGTGTAAATTACCTAGGATAACCCAAAAAATCCAGACAAAGCGCCAAACTCAGCTTGAAGATGTGAGTAAATGTGATGATGACACAGTCTTGTGGCTCTCTCTGAGACAGAGAGCTAGATGGATAGACAGGGAGCTTGGCAGACAGACAAATAGTTTAGTTCAGTTTAATATGTTTATTATGCACCCCATACCCATCCTGTGGGCGGTAGGCAAAAGATTACAGAGGTACATAATTGGTCCAGGGACTGGACTCCAAAGTTTTGATAGCTGAGCAAGTTACAAAGGTAATGAACTAGATCTGGTCATAATCATGACCAAGTTACAAAGGTAATGAGCTCCAGGTAGAGCTGGTCACACTCATGAATAATTGCAAAGGTAATGAATCATAAACACATTAATCATGAGAATTTACAAAGGTAATGAGCTCCAGGTAGAGCTGGTCAAAATCATGACAAGTTTCAAAGGTAATGAATGATAAACACGTTAAAATAATAGACAGACAGAAATGTTTGTGTACCAGCAAAAACAAAGGGAGGGCAATGGTCATCTAATCTTTTCTTATCAGCTGCACCCCCCCCCACCCTCGTTTACGCTCATCAAATGTCAGCTCTTATCAGATGTTATCTCTCCTTATCTTGTCACTGTCATGGGGTGGACTTTTTTTTTCTTGCTTCAAGGGAACAATATTATTACATCATCATCTTCTTCCTCTTCCTCTTCCTCTTCTTCCTCCTCCTCCTCTTCCTCTCCTCTTCCTCCTCCTCCTCTTCTCCTCTTCTCCTCCTCCTCCTCTTCCTCCTCCTCTTCTTCCACCCCCTCTTCCATTGCTTTTGGTCTCAAACTCCTCGAAATCATGAAACTGATCTTCACTGACACTTCCATCTGTGTTAGAGCATCACTTGGGAAGAGAAGAGTCCCAGATTTGCTGGGGAGTCACATATTTCTTACCGCTAAGCATGCTGAAAAAGGACAACTGAAATGGCATTCCCACAGTGCACCACTGGCTCCCCGATTTTTTTATATGGTGCACACTGACCATGGAGACCCATTCTCTCACATGTGGGCCTACCAGCTCTCTCCTGCTTGATTTGAAGCAGCTAGAATTTTATGTGTATAAATACGTCAGAAACATGTAAGACGTATATACATATAGGGAGTAAACAGTCAAAGGGTTAAGCAGAGGTATGATAAAGCTTAGAGTGACCTAGTAGCGACTAGTGAAGAGGTGGGGCCAGGAGTTTGGACTCGACCCCTGCAACCTCAACTAGGCGAGTACAACTAGGCGAGTACACACACACTCTTCCCCCCCCCCACACACACACACAGTTTGTGAACATGACAGAAGGAATAGACTCCGAAGTGTCCCTGTTTGCAGATGATATGAAGTTGATGAGAATGCAATCGGACGAGGACCAGGCAGAACTACAAAGGGATCTGGACAGACTGCAGACCTGGTCCAGCAACTGGCTCCTGAAGTTCAACCCCACCAAGTGCAAAGTCATGAAGACTGGGGAAGGGCAAAGATATCATGTGGGGTTCGAACACGTGGATTGGGTAAAATAATACTCACGTAGGCTGGAAGTACGTATAATTGTAACTGAAAGTATGTGGAAGGGTGCCACAGCCGAACCTGCCTCTCTCTGCCCCTTGGCTAGACTGACTGAGAGTGCTCATGGGCGAGGGGGCGCTTGAAATCCTGCTACGTCAGCAACAATATGAATACAGCCAGTGATTCACGCAGAGACGGTTGGTAGTGAGTCATCTACTGGTACACTGGTTACTGGTAACTGGTTACTACTACTGAGAAAGAAAACTGCAGACAGAGTACAGTCTAGGGGGCCAGAGACTACAAACCTAACTCAAGGAAAAGGATCTTGGGTCGAGTATAACACCGGGCACATTTCCTGAGGTACACATCAACCAAATAGCTGCTGCAGCATACAGGCAACTAGCAAACCTAAGGACAGCATTCTGACATCTCAATAAGAAATCGTTCAGGACCCTGTACACCGTGTATGTTAGGCCTATATTGGGGTATGCAGCACCAGTTTGGAATCCATACCTAGCCAAGCACGTAACGGAATTAGAGAAAGTGCAAAGGTTTGCAATAAGACTAGTCCTGGAGCTAAGGGGCATGTCCTATGAGGAGAGGTTAAGGGAAATCGACCTTACAACACTGGAAGACAGGAGAGATAGGGGGGATATGATAACGACATATAAAATACTGAGAGGAATCGATAAGTTGGACAGAGACAGGATGTTCCAGAGATGGGACACAGCAACAAGGAGTCACAGTTGGAAGCTGAAGACTTAGATGAATTACAGGGACATTAGGAAGTATTTCCTCAGTCCCAGAGTTGTCAGGAAGTGGAATAGTCTGGGAAGTGATATAGTGGAGGCAGGATCCATAC